TCTTCACACCCTGGTTGTGCAAGGCACCATCGCCTAATGGCGCCTTTCTCAGAATACCTCCTGTCGCCAAGCCACACGTGACTCTGTGTCACGAATATCAACTTTAGTTTCCTCCAAAACCACCAAGGAAAGCGTTGCCGGGACGTTTCAAAGTGCTGGAGCTTTCTCCCTGAGCATCTGAACCAGGGGCTGTTTCCCGTGCACCCACCCTCCCCAGCTCCCCCCCGGGCCCTGCTGTCTGGGGGGTTCGCAAGCAGGGAAAACGGGGGGGGGGGGGACCTAGACCTTTTGTTTGCTTCAGTGTTTTGGCTGCATTTTCCAACAGCAGGCCCAGTGTCTTCCCTCAAATCCGCGACACACCGCGGGTGGCACAGCGCTTTCCTGTTGAAGCCCCGGGGCCCCAGGCTCACCGGAAACGCGCTACTTTCCTGCTCCCCGACTTTTTGGGTACTTTAAAGAATCACCCAGGAGCTCCCGAATGCCCAGGTGCCCGGGTCCCACCCTAGGCCTGTGGTGTCAGAATCACCGGGGCCCTGCCTAGACGTCCAGGGATCTCAGCAGGTGACTCGGTGACACAGGAAATGTGGACACCACCTCAGCTGGTGCTCACGGTGTCACCCAGGGGATGGCAAAACAGGGAGGCAGAGAAAGTTGGCTTGAGAAAGGCCCGCACCCCGAGGCCCAGCCAGGCTGCGATCTGCACCTGCTGCGGACACCGCTTTACAGTGACTCACAAGCAACACGGACACTGCCACCTTCGCCCGTGCCTACAGGCCGACCACAGGGGGCCTGGGACCTGGGAGCACCAGGTGCAGACTCCCAGCTGTGTGGGCCTGGCTGAGGCCCCGCCCATCTCCATGTCCCTGTCATAAAATGAGGACCCAGGTTGTCCTCTCAGGTTTCTCCTTGGAAACCCCCTGGGCCCTGGAGGTCCGGATGGCACAGCCCAGAGAGCCCGGGGACAACAGGCCCTAAGTCTTGCATTTAACTTTTAAAACATGCTGGAGTTTTGCATCAGAATCTATGGCTCTTTGACATAAGATCTTCCCCCCAAAAAGTTCAAATAACAGCGCCCTCAAGCGCCCCAGGAAAACAATGTTCCCGAAAGAAGCACCGGGCTCAGCTCTGGGGTCCACTCAGCGGCCCTCTGCCCACAACTCCCTGGGTGGGAGAAGACCCAGATTTAATCTTCTTTTAAAGTGTCTGTATTTTAACAGGAGGACTAACACACGCCCACGGAAAAAAATAATAACAATAAACATAAGTTGGCCTGCTGGGAAAGAGGCTTCTCTCCACCCAGCTCAGCACGCCCAAAGCAAGTCTGCAGTCCCCAGGGTAAATCCCAAGGGGCGTCCTCGGCCACCACCCTGGCTCTCCCTCCTGGGGGCCACCCTATGCCTGGTTTCGCAAGTAGCACAGCTTGCTCTTATAAGATCTCAGGATTCAGGTAACTTGTCCCGACCGGCTGATGTTGTCTCCACCTTTGCTGTCACAGGCAATGGGACAATACTTTGTGGAACTGTAGGCCCAGAGGGGGTACAGGAGCAAAGGGTGTGCATTCTATATTTTGGTCCTTCCTGCCTAAATGGAGTTCCAGGGATGGGGGAAGCCGCCCAGGCCCCACAATGCACGCAGGCTTCTGGCCTCATCCAAGAGAAACTGTCCCCCAGCACTGCCACCTGCCGCCCACTCTGGGAAATGCAGCCTTCCTGTGTCCAGCCCTGGTGCAGCCAACCACCAACTGGTCTGACAAGTGCCTCTCTGAGCCTCAGTTTCCTGATCTGCACAGTGGGCCCTGAAATACCAATCTTCCAGCAATGACGGGAGGGCGCAATAAGACAATGAGCTGTGTCTAAGAGGATGACACGGATGACAGCTCACAAAACGGTGAGAGAAACCTAAAAGAAGTGTTGTCCCTGCGGCCAGGAAATGCCGCAGGTCAGAGGCCCCTTTCCTGACGTCTTACTGGAAGGACTTAACTTGCTAACGCACGTTGACAAGGTTGTGACAAAAATCAAATTGAAACAATAAGCCACCAGCCTCTGCCCATCAGATTGGCAAACAAACAACCTCAGTGATGAAGCTGGATGCGCGTGACTCTGGTTCCGAGGGCAAGTGGGGCGCTAGTGGGACCTCAGTAGACAGAGAGGAAAGGCCTGAGCGAACAGGCCAGAGGGTGGCACACGCCTGTGACTCCCGTGGATGGGAGGCTGAGGCAGGAGGATTGCAAGTTCAAAGCCAGCCTCGGCAGCTTCGCGAGGCCCTGAGCAACTCAGTGAGTCGCTGTCTCTAAATAAAACACAAAAAGGGCTGGGATGTGGCTTGATGGCCCAGTGCCCTGGGTTCAATCCCCAGGAGCAAAAAAGGAAAGAAAGAAAACAATAAAAATAATTCACGGCTCTGTGTGTTTATGTGTGTTTATGTGTGCGCGTGTGTGTGCGCGTGTGTGAGTGTGTGAGTGTGCGTGTGTGCGTGTGTGTGCGTGTGTGCGTGTGCGCATGTGTGTGCGTGTGTGGGGGCGGGCACCTGTGTGGAGAGGCACTGCAGGGCTGCTCCTGGGAGTCCTGGTGCTGACCTCTGAGGAGGACTGGAGCGGGTGGGGATGGGAGAAAGTGGGGACCCTTACTGCTCCCTCAGATCATTCTGGTGGCTTGAGTTTCGATACCAAGCATGAACTACTTGCAAATTTCTTAAAAAGCCACTTAAAACAAGGAAAAGAACACACGAACACTCCCAGGCCCCACTCCAGAGTGCTGAGCTAGAGATCCCACCAGGAGCCCACCCGGCCCAAGCCCCGCGGGGGTCCCCACCCCACAGTGGGGACCTCCCCGCCCCCGAGGACATGGCACCCCCCTCCCGTGTGGCCTCGGTGTTCAGGCGTCTGACTCGTTCTGCCTGCCCACCACCCACAGGGACCCCTGGGTGCTCACCCACTGACAGGGAGCCTCGCGCCAGCTTGGGGAGCATCAGGTCCAGCTGGCGGAAGGTGTGGTAGACGTCGGCCGAGTGGGCTCTGTCCTGGGCCTGGCTCTCCGGGGTGCGTGGGGACGCCTCCACTCCATACAGGGTCAGGTAGCCGGCCCTGGGGCGACAGAAGCAGGTCAGGGTCCTCTGCGGACACCCGTGGCCTCGCCCCCTGGTGGCCTCTACACTGTCTTCACTCACTCCCCCTGGAGCTCCTGGTCTCCCTCCTGTGTGCCAGGCCTGTTCCTGACATAGAGCCGACTTTCAGAACAGACCAGAGCCCTGTCCCGTGGACTCCCGCTGCGGTGGGGGGACAGAGGAAGCAGGAAGGCAGTGGAAACGGCGTGGGCGCCAGCTCCACGGAGCGTGTCTGCAGCCCCAGCGACTCAGCAGGCTGAGGCAGGAGGCTCGAAAGTTCAAGGCCAGCCTCAGCAATTTGGCGAGGCTGTGTCTCAAAGCAAAAAGGGTTGGGGATGCAGCTCACGGTGAAGCGCCTGGGCGCACACTCACCACCCCAAGAGAAAACTGAACGGGCAAAGAGCAGCATGAGGTAAAGGAGCGACAGGCGGACACAGGCGGGCAGCAGCAGGGGCGCCTGTGGGGCGGCTCCCAGTGGAGCTGAGGGATAAGAAGGAACCTGCTTCGGGGCAGACCCAGGGCAGACCCAGGGCGGACCAAAGGCAGACCAAAGGCAGACCAAGGGTGGACCGGGGCAGACCCAGGGCGGACCAAGGGCAGACACAGGGCGGACCAAGGGTGGACCCAGGGCGGACCAAGGGCGGACCCGGGGCAGACTTCTTGGGCAGCAAGGGCCACCAAGTGATGAAGCAGTAGGGAGGCTGGTGCAGGGGAGGCGAGGGGTGAGATGGGGGCACCAGTGGGGACAGGAAGACCCTGTCCAGGAGGGAGTCGGGGCAGGCTTCTGGAGAAGGGCAAGGGGAGGCCAGGTGTCAGACAGAGGGCGCAGCTGGGGCTAAGGCCGGGGGCTGCGGGGCAGCGGAGGCCTGCCCAGAGCTGCTGGGTGTCTCTGGAGGCACCGGAGCTAGGGCGGGGCCTGAAAGGTGTCCAGGGGTCGTGCCCGGCAGAGGGGACATGGAATGGGGGAAGCCCGTGCTGGAGCTGAGGGACCCTGGGAGGTCAGCCAGGCTCAGCCAGGTGTGCAAAAGGACCAGGCCGGGAGCCGACGTGCTCAGGTGTGCGGGCAGCAACGCACCACCTGTGGGGCCACCTCAGTCCCCAGGCGCCCAGTGCCAGCCCCGGGCCCTGGCCTCAGTCCTGGGAGGGAAACGGCGGGTTCTCACTTCTCCACATGAGAAGGGCTGCGGCCTTGGCAGAGAGCCGCCACTGAGGTCCCAACCTCCCGTCCCTCACTCCCCTACCCCCTGACCCCACCCCTAGATCTCCCAGGACAGAGGTCCTCCCGGCTGGGGACAGGGGCGAGCAGGCATGGGCTGACAGCAACCTGTGTGGTCCCCACTCTGTCCCTCACTAGCACAGCACAGGCCCAGGGTGGCCCGACACGTTGGTGGGTGGGCAGACGGACAGAAGGACAGGGTCAGAACAGAACCCTGAGAGCCCCGACCATGAGAGAATGACGGGTCACCACAATTTGGAGCCGAGCCACCAACCCCCACTCCACCCTCACCCCGCCTGCCTTGGCTTCCATGCCCCCAGGGATGGGGACCTCACTGCGGTCACAGCCCTCCCCACGACCCCCCGGTCCAGCCCAGGGGAGCTCCCCCTCCCCTCCACGCACGGCAGGCCTGGCCCCTCTGCAGATTAAGGCCCCGGTTTCCTCATGGCAGACACTGCAAGGAGGCAGCCCTCCACCTGGACGCTCCGTGGGGTCCGCAGAGGTCACCTGAACCCCTGCTGAACCTGCGCTCAGACGCCAGAAGAAACCAGGGCAAAACCTGGGCCTCCCAGTCACCGCTAGAAAGGGAGCCGGCCACGGCCCGCCGACCCGGCAGGGCAGCCCACGGCCACTCCTTCTAGGCAGCAGGTGCTCGCCAGGCACCACGGACCTCGCCTGGCCCCGGGTCTGTCACAGTTTAAAGTTCGGCTAAACACCTGGGTCCCTGTCTTTCGGGCTCTGCTGTTTCCCTAAGGCAGAGAGCCAGTCCCACCAAAACAGGTGACGAAGAACAGCCAGGCACAGCAGCCCAGGGGACCACTGGGCCTCACGGAAGACCCTTCCGTGGCTCCTGGTTCCAACATGGTGCCCAGCAGCCAGTCACCGCCTGCGTAAGTACACAGGCGACCCCTAGGTGGCGCCAGGTTCATAAAAAACTAGACCCAGGTGTACGACAGGCGTCTTCATGTTGATGACCTGGTGTCCAACAGGCCTCTCTGGGCAGCTGGCACTGGAGATGGACTGACTGAAGTGAGGAGGGAGCCACATGGACATGTGGGGAACAGCATTCCCAGGCAAGGGAACAGAACTCCTGATGTGGGGCGGGTGCCTGGCGGGAGGGAGACTGGACCACGGCGGGGCGTGAACTCACAAGCAGAAAGCTACCAGGCACTTTCACAAGCATCTTCACCTTAGGCTTAACCCAGGAGCCGTCACACCCAGCGCTTCCCACCTCCACCTTCACCACCGCCCCTCCCCACCCGAGGTCTGGTCTCCAGTCCCAGCCAAGGCCACTGTGAACCCCTGAGCCGCTCCTGCCTTGCCCGGCCTAACCCCTAACGTCACTCTGTCTTACTGAGCAAACCTCAAAGCCCTTCCTGGCCTCGAGCTCTGTGAGACCGGCTTTGTGACTTCTCCAGCTTGTCCCTGAACCAGTTCTGCTCCAGCCACTCGGGCTCCCTAGGAATCCCACCTCTGGGCCTTCCACTTGCCAAGTCCCCTGCCAGGCCCTTGGCACGGGAGTGGGTACCCTGTCCTGAGGTCTCAGCTCTGCGGCTGGGTCCTCAGAGAGGCCCTTCAACAGTCTGGCTGACGCTGCCCAGGGGCTGCCACCCTCTGTGGGTCTCTGTCCCCACGTCCACCACTCTGGCATACAGAGTCCATCTGTCTTGTCCCTGCTGTAAACCAGAGCCCAGAAGAGCGCTGGGCACCACTGCAGCACAGAGCTCGGCCCTGCCGTTTTCACGGGTCTAGGAGGTCTGACCCCGGCCGAGGGCCTGCTGGGCTCCCAGCACCCTGTTTCCCAGCCTGCGAAACCCCAGAAGGTGGGAGCCACAGGACAGGTGCCTCGGAGTCTTGCTGGGCTACCCCCTCTCCAGGTGACCACAGGGCCCTTTCTCAGCCGTGCCTGCTTTTCGGCTCAGCCTGGATCAGGTGACCTTGGAGTTTCAGGTACTCAGGGTCCTTCCTTCATCGGGGGCATCCCAAACCGCCCCCGCCCAGAGTGCTCACGGGGACGAAGATCCGGAGTGTCAGGCCCCACCCAGGACAAGGCTCCGGGGCTCACCTGAGCAGAGAGCCGTAGCAGAGGTCCAGGAGGCCCACCTCCCGCCAGCCGCTGGCCCCTTCTGTGGCGTCGACCAGGAGGACGGAGCGGAGGTTGGTGAACATGGCTTCCGTGAGCGCCTGCAGGTCTCTGTGGACGAGCGTCCTGAGCCGGGCAAGGGCAGCGTGAGAGCCTGGCTCCCAGGGGGGCACCCGCGCCCATAAATCCTGCCCCAGCGGCAGCTGGCCTGGCACCCGCCACAGCAGTGCTTTACAGTGCTGGACACAGGGGCCCAGTCCACGCTCGCCCACCCACCGTACCCATCTGGGAACAGAGAGGAATGGGACACGCCCAAGGCCACACAGCCGTGACAGCTGGGACTGAAACCTGTGTGTGGCTGCAGGGCCTGTGAGCCGCACCTGGGCAGCCCATGCCGACTGGGCACTGGAGCTGGGCCAAGGAACCCCACCTCTGGAAGAGCAGGAACTAAGAGGCCAACCCTGGAGTGAGGGGTCCTGTCTGCTCAGCTACAGTGTCCCCTGACCAAGGGCTGCTAAGAGACGGGACCTCAGTGAGGGTGACATGAGACAAAGGAAGGGGCTGGTGACCTGGTCCCACCACGTGGACCGAGTCGGAGGACAGAACAGCCCCGGAATGTGGGCAGAAGTGGGGGCCTTCAGCCCCTCCCGGGGCAGGCTCCACACTGCGCGGGATGAGGTGGGGGTGGCCGGGAGGGGAGGCGGTCCCCGTCCAAGGCTCCTGGGGACCCGGACCTGACGGCCGTGGCCTGCTCAGCAGCGGCACCTGGCGGCGGCGGCAGGGACGGCAGGCGCGGGCCCGGGCTCCGCCTAGTTTCCGGGGTTTGTGGTCCTCAAAGCCCAGGCGCCGGGCACCTGCGGCCGCCCGCACCCCCCGCCTGCGCCCGGGGCGTCGGGCCACTCACGGTCTCATCCGGGCCTTCTCCTCCGTGGGGCTGTAGTGCGGGAGCTGCACGTCGAAGATCCTCTCCATGAGGAAGGCGGCGTACGCGTGGAAGTCCAGCCGGGAGCGCGGCTCCCACGCCACCCTCTCGTAGGAGTGGGGGTCCAGGAGCACGGTCACGTGCCGGCCCCCCACCAGCACCTGGGGAGGCCGTGAGCCCAGCTGGGACTGAAACCTGTGTGTGCCGCCTCCCGCCCGACGCCTCCCTGCGGCGCGACCTCGTTCTCCCCTCCGCCACCGTGAGCTAGGGACGGTCGCCAGCCCAGGGTGCCCACCCCGAGGCTCCCAGGGAGGATGCCAAGCGCCCGAGATGCCACGGCCGCGAGTGGGCAGGGCCAGGGCCGAAGGCAGGGCTTTCTAAAATCAAGGCTGCGACCTAACCACCCGCTGCAGGCCCCGGCAGGGTCACCTTGGCCAGGCGCGCGGGTCGCCAGCGCAAGGCCACGGACCTCGTGAGGGGCCGCGGGAGGGAGATGACGGTGGGCGAGCTGCGAGGGTGAGGGGTGCAGGGGGCTCAGGGACCCCACACTGGACTGCCACGGGGTGGGCAGCCAGCAGACGGGTGGAAGCTAAATGTGTGGATAATGTGGGGCCCAGGGGTGACCGGCGGTGTGTCCGTCTCGGTGACCAGGTGGAAGGATGAGCGGGGTCCGGGAGGCTGGAGGGAGGCGTGCAGGGGGCCCGGCAGAGGCCTGGGCAGGTGGAGGCCCAGGAGGGTGGAGGCCTGGGATGGCGCAGAGCGGACAGGGGTGGGCAGGGCTGGCGCAGCTGTGCAGGCGGGTGACAGGGGTGGGTGGAAACCGACTCTGGGCTAGAAAGCCGGAGGACATGGCCGGGAATGAGGATGCTAGGTAAGTCTTGGGAGGCAGGCAGGGACCTTGTGGGTACGGGGAGAGGCTGGGGCAGGAGGCGAGGAACACCGCGGGGTGTTGGGTGGAGGGTGCTGGGCAGCTGTGGGTGGGAAGGCAGAGGAGGGAGGGACACGGAGCCGGATATTGGACAGACGGAAGCAGAGTGGACGGGCAGCGGGATGGACGCTGGGGTGTGGTAGACCCTGAAGGACCATGCAGCTCAGTGTGGGAAGAGGCTGGGGGACACCGAGGGTCGGAGGCAAGGGAAGCACAGTGGACAGACAGACAGACTGAGGGTGGGGTGGGGCGCTGGTGCAGGTGGGGGCTGGCAGAGTTCGGGGCACTGCCCCCCTGCCCCCAGAGGCACTTACGGTAAAGATGTCGCCGTGCTTCTCCTTCATCCTAGCGAGGAAGCTGGCCGCGTCTCTCCCAAACTCCAAGGCGTGGCCCAACCAGGGGATGCTGCCCAGGTCCAGGGGAGGCTCGCCAGGTCGCCTGCAGAACCCACAGCACTTAGTAAAGTGAGGCAGGGGATGGAGAATGCAGCGTGGGGAGGTCAGTGGGGAGGTCAGGAAGGCACTCGGGTAACTGGAAGAGCTTTCCAGAACGGCAAGTGCAAAGGCCCTGTGGCTGGATCACACGTGTTCAAAGGACAGTAGGAGGCTGGTATGGCTGGACTCAGGGGGCAAGGGGCAGCAGTGGGTGCTGAGATCCGAGGGCGGGCAGGACCAGAGCCATCTGGTGTGGGAGCACTTCTGCTTTCTCTTGGAGGTGGGAGCCATGCAAGTTTTGAGTGGAGCGACATGACCTGCTTGGGTGGAGCTGCCGTGCAGAGTGGACTGTGGGTGGACATGGGGGCGGGGCGTCCAGCAGGCGACCACCTCCCTGCAGGCGGGAGGAGCTTCCACACCCCACAGCAGCAGGAGTTTCTGAGCCAGCCCGGACCAGGGTGTCGGTCAGCTCACACCCTGCCCTGCCCACAGGGATGAGAGAGAGCAGTCTGCTGCCCCCAACTGCCCCTCGCCAGCTGCGAACCTGAGGCGCCTTGGGCAGCAACGCCAGGCCAGGTGTCCAGCGTGGGCGCTGGCGGAGCAGGGCAGGGGGTCGTGTGTGCCAGCCAGCCAGCCCCTGGGTGGGGTCCGCATCCTCAGCCACCACACCCTGTGCGAGGGGGGACCCTGGGGACACTGAATGGGACAGCTGGTGCAGTGGGCCTGAAGGAAGGCCCATCCCTTGGTGGCCCTACCTGACCGGCTGGGCAGGGCTTAAAAGGACAGGGCTCTTCCCGGCAGAGAGACTCAAGCCCACGTGGGAGGGGACATGGGAAGTCTGTCACTGGCTTCGAGGCTGGTAGGGACCCTGGGGCCGGGAACGTGAGTGGCCCCCAGGAGCCGTGAGCGGACCTTGACTGACAGCAGCAAGGACGCAGGTCCCTAGTCCTACCCAACGCCAGACCCTCCCTTGAGCTTCCAGTGGCAAGGAGGCTGCGCCACCTCAGCCTCAGCCTCCTGGGCCTCCGACAGAGAGCCCCGTGGGCTCGGATCTCCAATCGCAGGGCTCAGCCCCTCCTGGGGCTCCTGGCGGGCTCCAGTGAAGCTGCCTAGTGCTCAGCGTTTGCTTCAGCAGCGAGCAACTACTCCGCCCAGACTCCGCACCGCTCGCGGCCGGCCACAGGCTTCCCATCCTCTCCACCCCTCTGCGGCAGGGAACCTGCGCTGAACGGCACTCGCGATCACACAGCAGGCCTCACTGTATCGTGGGGCAGTGTTCACAGTGGACCCCACGGAGGTCCCTAGTCTCGGAGTTATCAGAGCAACAGGGTGTGGAAAGTCCGGCCCCGGCTGCTGAGAGGCTGCAGGGACAGGGAGATATTCACCCCAAGCAGGTCCCGGGCAGGGCGCTGGGGACAGCAGGGAGCAGGGCCTTGGGAAGACACACAGACAGCAAGACAGAAAAGTCGGCCACAGAGCGGCGATTCTGACGACAGCTCCACAGTGAAAAGGCAACCTGGCTGAATCACCAATGACGAGCTGGGCGTGAGGCCCGCGGCAGAGCCAGCCAGCCAGCACGAAGCCTGGGTCCCGCCCAGCACCAGAAATAAACAAAAACTAAAATGAAGGACGGATCTGAGCAGGCGTTTCTCCAAGGGATACACAAGCAACAAGTGCCAAAGTCGCCATGAGGCTGGGGCAGGTGGTGCACACCTTCAGTCAGGAGGCGGAGGCAGGAGGCTGCAGGTTCGAGTCCGGCCCCGGCAACTTGGGGAGGCCCTGAGCAACCTGGTGAGACCCTGCCTCCGAGTGAAGGATAAAAAGCTGCAGATGAAGGTTGGTGGCAAAGCGCCCCTGGGTTCAGTCCCCGAAAAACAAAGAAAGGAAAAGAAAAACAGATCGCCATGAAGCGCCACTTCAGGCCCCCAGGACGGCGGTGAGACATTGTCAGCATTTTTTTAAAAGAAGAACGAGTGTCCACAAAGATGTGGCGAGGTTGGAGGCTCCCTGGAATGTGAAGGGCGGGTCGTCTCTGAACACCAGCCTGGCGGGGCTCAAAGGGTTAAACGCGAGTTGCCGCGTGACCAGTGGTGTGTCCCCCGGCAATAGTCAGAGGGGACACCAGCCAGCCTCCATGACTGACGGGCGGGTGAGCCCCGTGTGGCACATCCCAGCCAGGGATGTTACTCAGTCACAAAAGGAGTCACTGAGTCACCGCCAGGGCTCCTGGACATCACGCTGAGGGAAAGGAGCCAGACCCGAGGGCCACGTGCCGCACGTCTAGCTGCCACCCATGCCCAGAGCAGGTGACTCCACAGACGGGAAGGAGACGGGTGGTGGCCAGGGCCGAGGGGAGGTAGTTCTGTGGGGGATGTTGAAAACAGTCTGGAACTAGGTGGCGGTGGCGGCCGTCCAACCCCGTGACTACACCAGAAACCAGTGCGCCGCACACTGTCAAAAGCACACTTTAAAAGGGTGAATTTTGTGGTTCATGAATTATGCCTTATTAAAGAAGAAAGAAAGAGGTGATTGAGACAGTGGGGGTAGCTCAGAGAAGGTGGTCAAGGACAGCCTCCTCAGGGAGGTGCCATGTGAGCCAAGGCCAGAAGGACGGGAAGGGACACTCAGGAAGGGTGTGACAGGAGCCCTACAGGTAGAGAGAATGGCAGGTGCAAAGGCCCTGGGGTGGGAACACTGGGTTTTAAGACAGCGGGATCTGGTGCAGCTGGGGTGGAATGTGCAGGTGAGACCCAGGCAGTGATGGCGGGAATGTCCTTGAGGACCCTGAGGGCCTGAAGCCAAGGAGAGTGTGGCTCCTGTGCCTGGTGCGGTGGGGATGGGTGGAGGGTTGGAAGTGGGAGTCAGGAGGCGAAGCCTGTGTTTTAAGAGAGGCAACAGGAAGGAGGCTACGAGGCCACCCCGGAGGGCAAGCCCAGCACCTGACCCCTCACCCCAACTTCTGGAGCAGGGGGTCCCTGCGCAGGCAGCACTCCAGGGACAGGCCAGCAGGTTCCCCCCGTCCTCCCTCGCCCCGACTCTGCCCCTCTGTCTGGCTGTCCCCCACCGGAACCCCAAGGGCGGGCAGGGGGAGCAGCAGGGGTGAGCCTCAGTGCTGGGAGAGAGCGGACCCAGGATGGAGTCCGACCCCAGCCTCCCAGCCTCCCAGCCTCCCGGCCTCCCGCTGCCCGGAGCCCACCACCCAAGTCCCCCTCGCGGGCCCAGGAGGCGGCCAGCGAGGCTCCAGCCCTTCCCCGGGCTCTGGTCTTTGCAGCCCTGGGCCACGGCAGCTTCTCCGGCTGGGGACCAGCCTGCTGACCCGCGGGCACCCGCCCTGCCACCCGGGCAGTCTGGGGAGACGGGCCCAGAGCGGGCAGTTGGCCTAAGAGGCAGGAGAGCCTGGTGGTCACAAGGGTGACCTCAGCACCGGTTCCTGGCCCCAGACCCCGGCTGTGCCTTCGCTGGCCGCGTGACTCGTGCCTTCTCCACGCCTCGGTTTGCAGGTCTGTGCCGGGGGACGGGAACAAGGGGTCAGGGGAGCCAGGAGCAGCCCGGCACTGGAAGCCAGGGGGCCCGGGGCGACCGAGCGCCCCCAGGTGCTGTGCCCGGCCTTCTCCAAACTCTCCCTGCTGCCACTAAGGCCACCGTGAGAAGCCCTGACCGTGGGCAGCCCCGCTGGCCCTCAGCCCCAGGGGTGGGCGAGTGTCCTCTGGCCCTGAGGAGCCGACCAGTCCCCAGGGGGGAGCCGGGCTGGCTGCGCACTCGCCGGGCCTGGGGAGGAGCTGGGTCTCCCTCAGCAGGTCTGACCCAGGCCCCGTTCTCGATGCTGTCGGCCCCACTTTGCGGGTGAGGACCCTGAGGCACCGAGGGTCTTCAGGGACTGCCCCATGCAGGGCAGGGGGCCTCCCGGGGACGCGCGGGTGGGGCTTCCCTGGCCGCCCGCCCTCCTGGCTGGGCCAGCGGGGCCAGGTGTTGTTTCTGGCAGCCTCCTCCTCCTCCTCCCCAGAAGAGGGGCCAGGAGCTCGCAGACAAAGGCAGGAAGCGGGGCCCAGGCGCCTGCCCCTCAGCTCTCCAGCCGACCCCCAGCCTGGCCCGGGCCGCGGTCCAGGGTGACTCAGCCTGCGGCCGGGGGCGAAGGAGGCTCTATTTCAAGGCCTGCGCTCTCGGCCTCGCCCACGGCCACTCTCACCGACTTGAGGACCTGCCAGGCCTGGAGGGAGCGGGGTGGGGACACAAGGCTGGACTCTCCTGTCCCGGGTTAATGCCCACTCGGCAGACGGTGGCCTGCTCCTTGGGTTCAGACACCCCACCATCCCCGGGGTCCTCTCCTGGGGCCTCAGCTCCCACAGGGAGGACCCGCCGTCCCTCCCTCCCACACGCCAGCTGCCCCGGGTCTCTCTCCCCACCTAAAACCAGGGGAGGGAGGGCTGGGTGTGCTGGCCTCGAGGCATGGCGCCCTGCCTGGACCAGGGACTCGGTGTGCACTCCAGCACTCAGAACCCTGCGCGGCACACAGTAGGCGCTCACAGAATGTGTCAGACGAAGGAATCACGTACACAGCTGGTGCTCAGTGAGCAGGCCTGCCTCCAGGGTGGAGGGAGCCAACGCGGGTTGAGGCCCGCCCAGCGCAGGCTCTGGATGGTGCGGAGGGAGCTGCGGCTGGCCAGGGCCGTGCCAGGCCGAGGGGCGCCAACGCTGCTAACAGTGCCCAGTCCACTCCGGCTCTCAGGCCCAGGAGGACCCGATGGGGAACAAAAAGGAGCTGCCGCTCCCCCCTACACACACACCCACTGGAGCAATCTGAGCTCCTCCAGGGCTCAGCCCAGGCCGCCAGTGGCTTCTGGTCCCATTAACAGAGGGTCCCCCTTATGCTCTTCCGGGCTCCCACAGCCTCCCACTGTGCAGAGAAAGCACGTGGCCTTGTTGCTCTGGCTTTGTTCTCCTGATACTTGTCACCACCAGGAAAGACAGCGTGGGAAGGAGTGACAGCAGGAGAGCTGAAAGCAGGGGCAACGGGGACAGTGGCAAGGTCTGGAGAGGGCTCCTGCCTGCCAGATCTGCTGGTGTGCACAAGAGGCGGAGGCCTGGGCTTGCACATGGAGTCCTCCAGTTTCCCCAACCCCACCAGGGCCTCCAGGGCGGAATCCCACCTCAGACCACCTCGGTGACCTCTGGCTGCTGCGGGTGGCGATGACACAGATTCACGCCTTCCTGGGAACTCGGCACCCTGCAGAGGTCCGATCAGCCCCGAGACACAGGAACCCACACCGGATGCCACTGCAGCCTCCGGTCCCACAACTGCCCACCCAGAGGACCTGTGGGAGTGCTCCCCGCAGCAGCCACACCTGCCCAGGAGGAAGAGAGTGAGTCGGGGGGACCCAGGTCACCTCTGGGAGCACTCTCAGTACCAAGGGCAAGAAGGATGTCTCCGGTCCCCACAGGCAGATCACTGCCTCAATGGGCCAGAAGGAAGAATCCTGCCTCCCAGCACCTCAGTCCTGCCAAGAGGAGAGTTTGAACTTGAACTGGGAACTAGATGGCATTACAAATTCTTTTCACATTCTCAGGGCGATGAAATCAGGGTTACCATCGTCTTCTGATGTACACTCAGGGTTGAAATATCATGACAGCTACAATTGTTTTAAAGAATTTCTTTTTCAGTTGTGGATGGACACAAAACCTTTGTTTATTTTTTTATGTGGTGCTGAGGGCCGATCCCATGCCTCACACATGCTAGGCGAGCGCTCCACCACCGAGCCCCAGCCCCAGCCCAACGGCTATATTTCTTAAATGATATCAGTGACTGTAAAATCAGGGTCAGGGGACATGGAGGTTCTTACAGTACTTTTTTCCTGCATGGTTGAACTTTTTCGTAATTAAAAAATTATGAAAAACTTTTTTTTTTGTTTGTTTTGCTACTGAGGATTGAACCCAGGGGGCACTTAACCACTGAGCCACATCCCAGCCCTTTTTATTTTTTACTTAGAGACAGGGTCTTGCTGAGTTGCTCAGGGCCTGGCTGAATTGCCGAGGCTGGCTTTGAACTTGCGATCCTCCTCCGTTGTTTTATTTTATCTATTTATTCATTTGTGGTTTGTTTAATGCTTACAGGTAAAGCAGTTGCTAACTGACTAGAGTCACATATTTCACTAGCTGTGGAGTATAATTTCTGTGACCTTGGGAAAGTCACAACATTTTCAAGCCCAGCTGCATGGCACAGGTGACGAGTGACCTCACGCCTTGGTCAGGAGAAAGGGGCGAGGCCAGGCAGAGGGGAGCCCTACCTACTTGCATCCAGACTGGGTCACCTCTGAGGACGCAGCATGGACGTCACCCACCCCTTCTTCCCACACCTGGGGATCTGTCCTTCCTGAAGGCTTTTCTGCTGTGGCTGTGGGATCTCAAGGTGACATGCTTCTACAAATTTCAAGTATCCAGATCCACCAATGTGATGAGAGGGAACAGTGGGGGTCCGTCTTTTCCTGGGAATTACAAGTCGTTAGAGCTGAGAGTTTTAATCGAGGCAGACCCTGAGGGATTGCTTGACCTCTCTGAGACTCAGTGTCCTCCTCTGTAAAACTGGGGTAAACAGAGTGCCCCCTTAAGGCAAGTTAAAAAGAAAAGCTGGGCACAGTGGCGTGCACCTATAATTCCACCAACTCAGGAGGCTGAGGCAGAAGGATGGAAAGTTTGAGCAATTTGGCAAGAGCTTTCTCAAAATTAAAAAAAAAAAAAAGTGGGGTATTGGGGCTATAGGTCAGTGGTGGAACACCCTGGGTTCAATCCCCAGCACCAGGAAGATAAAAAGAGGACAAATGAGATTGAGAAACAAATTGGGACCCCTGAGGGCCTTGCCAGAGTTCACACTGTTGTCCCCCACCTGCTAGTGACACCTGTTCCTGTACTTCTCCCCAATAACCCCTGGTGGCCCTCCCAGGTGCCCAGAGGTATAAATTTCAGCCCCAGAGATAAGCAAGCTCCCCAGATTGCTAGTCAGCAGGACGTAGCCCAGAAAAGCTGGACCCACATTCCTTCCCACCCAGGGGTCCCATTCCCACCCACTATCACGACCATCATCCCCATTTTTTTTTTAGTTGTAAGTGAACACATACCTTTATTTTTATGTGGTGCTGAGGATGGAAGCTGGTGCCTCACAAATGCAAGGCAAGTGCTCTACCGCTGAGCTACAACTGCAGACCCCCTTCATCCCCATTTTAAAGATGGACATACTGAGACCCAATGGTGCATGTCTATAATCCCCAGCTACTAGGGAGGCTGAGGCAGGAGGATCTCGAGTTCAAAGCCAGCCTGGGCAACTCAGCGAGACCCTGTCTCAAATAAAATTCTCAAAGGACTGGATGTAGCTCTGGGGAAAGTGCTTGAGCTCGTGAGGCCCTGGGTTCAAGCCCCAGAACCACAAAAACATTTTTGGACAAGTGAGGTGGAGAGCAGCCCCTCCTCTCACTGGCACTTTCCATGCCGGGGGACTTCTATGTGTCCAGGCACCCTGCCCCCAGGACCTACGACCTTCCAGCTGTGCCCACCCACACCCAGGAAAAGTGCAGACCACGGCCGCAGGATGACCAGCACATTACCGGAAATATCAAAAACAGAGGACACAGCCGAAAAGTCCATTCTCAGGGACATGGATAGAGGGAAAACGAACCGCAACCGATTCAAATTCCAGCACACGGGAGAGAAGAGCAGAAGAGCAGACCACAGCTCCGTGCGCACACCGACCAGTGTGGAGCCCAAAACCCAGAGCAAAAAAACAAATGAACCATCGGAGAGCCCCTCCGGACAGAGGGTCAAAGAGCCCGACACACCGGGAAAAAGAACTCATTGCTTTGTAGGGAAACATTCCTCATCTTCTCCTTTTTTTTTATTTTTTTCTTTCAGGCAAATGATTGAATGTGTAGTTTTAAATTTCACCTGGAAAAGTATGTGGTGCGAGGAAAAACACAGGGAGATCATTGTTTGAAATTTCAACTAACACATTGTTTAAAAGTTGAAGTTCCCAATGTTTCTGGGATTTTCAGCCACTCTACTGTAAACACTCTCTCTCTCTCTCTCCCTCTCCTCCCACCGTATTGTCACAAGCTCTCCTCACTGTATTTAAGAGTAACTATTAGAACATCTGGAGACATGGAGGAGCTATTGGTCTCAATTGCATCCTGGTCCTTAATGGAAAGCCCAGAGAAATCCCGGGAAGGGCTGCAGTTTGGTAGACAGTAGGGTTCCGGGCAAGGTCGGCGAAGTTTTCAGTTACACAAACCTACCAGGATAACAGAGGCGCTAGGGGTGGGGAAGCTTGGCAAGTCTGCGCGATCTTGGCAGACTTTTTGTAAATCTCAGACTAGTCTGAAATAAAAAGTGTATTTTTAAAATATCTGGAAGGTTCCACCCAAAGTGAGCAACAGGAGGTCTGGGGAAGAGGAAAGGACCCGGGGTGGGGGTGGGTTGCCGGGGGTCCTCAGTCTCGTCTGCAACAGGATGAATATTGGTTGTGGGTCAAATGGAGTCTGCTGTCCCTTGTGCAGTTCAAACTAGTGTTTTAAACACTTCATAAGAAGACCTAGCTCCTGAACCCGAGGCGTCGTGGTTCGACTTTTCCCCCTAATTTACATTCCCCGCGGGACAGAAAACCCTCTGGGACGGAGGCTGAGACAGCGGCCCTGGGTCTCCTGGGCTTCTCCTCTGGCAGAAGTTAACACGGAGCCTAGGGACCCCTGCTCTCGCGAGCGGGACTCCGGCAGGAGTGGTCCCAGGGCGCCACGAGCAGGTCCCCCCACGGCCTCCACCCTCCAGCCTCCGGGCAGGGCCGCCGGCCGCGGGGCAGGACAGGGCTCCCGCCCGGGGTGGGTGGGCGCCGGGCCGGGCCGAGGCTGCGGGCGCGAGAGGGCCTCTTCCACCCGGGCCCCAGGCTGTCCCCGCACCTCTCCATCCACGCCCGGCCTCGCCCGAA